GTTTGAGGCTGTGTAAGTACAATAGGGTCTAAGGGAAAGGGAAGGGCATTTTTTTCTAAAGTAGAGCAAAATAAACTATGGAAATTAGTGGCAATGGCCTCTAATAATGGGATTTTACAAGAGATGTCCAACCTCTAGAACAATGGCTCAGCGTAAGCCAAGGTTAATAGTGCTCATTGTCTTCTGCCTGTGAGCCGGCAGCTCAGCTCTCCCTTAGCAGCACAGGCAGCCCATGTGCCACTGCCTGCTGCAGGCTGGGTTGGCACTGCTATTGGGATGGGTGCTTGTAAAGCCAAGATTGTGCTGGGCACCTGGCCTGGATTTCGTGTACTTTGCCATAGGAGCAGCCCAGCTGGGCAGGCAGCAGCAGGCACAGCATGTCTTCCTCCGTGCTCCTTGGCAGCAGGGGGTGTGGGGATCTGCTGTGGTGCTGAGCTATTGACCTCAGGTGTATCGGGGCTGTTCTGAGCTCACCTGCAGCGTGGGAAAGGGAACCGGCTTGGGAAAGGTATTCTTGCAACAACGGGATGGTGGTGGAGTAAGCTGGGAAAGGCAAAGGGTTTTTTTCTTTTGCTGTTGTAAACTGAAGGTCATGATATTGTTTAGTGCTGCCATTAGGTCTTATGTGTGGAGAGTGACACAGCTCTGAAACTCCCCGTGCCTCTAAGTGAGGAAATAAAAGCTTGTGGCTGCCTACATCTGAGAAGAGAAGCGCTCGAGTAGTCCTTTATTTTTCAAATAATGCCTAGTGCAACTTTGACATTGATTTCTGTTTAAAATGAATCATTTAACAGAAATAAAAGAGATATTTAAGCAACAAACTAGTAAGCAAGAAAAAAAAATAGGAAAAGATAATCAGGGAAGTGGAGAATGAGTGAATGAACCTTTTGCTTTTACTCTTGTGAAAAATAGGGAAAAAAGCAAGCAAAAGCTGACGCTTTCATTGCTGTTCTACTCTACTCCACTCTACCTAGTAGGATGAGCTGGAAAAGCCTGCCTGCAGGAAGAGGGTGATGTGTGCAACAGCACGAACTTGGCTATGTCACAGCCTGGGCAGAGTTAACCACAGCAAGCCTGTGGCCTGCCCTGCAGGATGTCCATGTTTGATTTCCTAGGGAGATCAAGCCTAGAGGTGCAGACAAAGTTGGCAATTGTTAGAGGGACTACAGCTTATCACTGACATCCCAACATTCCCTCCCCACAGGGTTATTTCGTCCCATCTCTGATCTTCCTCACTCCATCCCTGCCCTGTAGAGGAGCGCATCAACCTTAGCAGGGCAAAGTGCTCTGTGCTTACATTTCTGCAATGCTCTGAGCCTAGCCTCTCTCTTGCCCTCTTTTTCTCCAAGCAAACACCTACTTAGCCTTGCATGCTTTAGCAGCACTTTATGCTTCTCGATACAAAATTAACAGACTTTAGGGCAGAAGACCATCAGCCATATTATTACAGTGTTGAATATGAGTTACTTCAGAATTTACAGAAAAAAATGCCCAAGTTTATAAAAACTACTGAGCTGATCGAGGGCTGTGCTAAGTGATGAGGACAGCATGTCATATTTAAACACTGTCTAGAAAGTTGCATATTTCCCATGCAGCAGGAGTATTCTTGCTGTTGTAGAAAATGCAGCACACTGTGCTGTTCGCTTCTGACCCACTTTCAGCCTCAGGGTGCATGAGAGCTGGAATTGCGCTGTAAAGTTCACTGCTGTTTTGCAGGAATTCTGAGTTGAACATGCTGCCGTTAAATGAGAATAATACTAGAACTTGGAAATAACTTATGAAAATACCCTTTTTTTTTTTTTTAGGAAAAAAACCCAAGTGCACCTGCCTCATGCATTTCCATAGTAAGATTGCACCGTACACTTAATTACCTGTCTTGACAGTATTTTTGTTTTCCAAGAATTTCTGCACGTGTTTTGCTTGCTATCTCTTCATTTTTATTTGGGTACACAGAGGTCAAGTAGCTTTTTGTGTATGGAATCTGAAGGTTTTATTCTTGATCACCCTTAGAATTGTGGTCCCCTTGCTGGTAGTTGAGCCCTACACAGGCTGAGTAATGAGGTATACAGTGCATCCCTGGAGCCCTCTGGCTTTCTCCAGCGACAGGGCTGAGGAGGTGACAGGTTCTAGAAAGAAGTTTGTGGCATCCCCTCTTCGAGTCTTTGGGGCACACATTATCAGCTCTACAGCTTTAGTAATTTCACTTTGGAAGCCTGGAAATAGCACCTTTAAAACAAAAAGCAAATAACAACAAAATAAAAACAGAAGATCCCTGAAAGCTGTGGTTTTCATGTGAAGATGAGACTTTTGATAGCTATGTGTTTGAAAAGGTCCTGTTACTGCAGGAGGCATGACCAAATTGGCAGAGCTGGCAGCTCTGCCGTGCTGCCTCTCTCTCCTACTCCTGGCCTCAGCAGCCTATGCTGCCCATGCTGCTTGTCTCTTTTGCTGTATTGATTTTTACACTGTAATCTACTCAGAGCAAGGGTTTTGTCTATTACGCATTTGTAACACACCACACGTGCATTATTACAGAAATAATGTAATACAAAGTGCCTGGGATTTCAAACATTCAGTGTTTCATAGCCAAAATTTGGCCAAGAAAAAATCCTTCTGTTTTTGTGCTCCCTCTGCTGGATCCGTACACGCAGGAATTATTGGCTGTCCCTAGAGCCATGGGCTTCCCTCTTCTCTTCCAGAACCCTCAGCTAACAGTTTTGCCACCTGGCACCTCCGGATGCTTGCACAAAGTGCTTGGTTCTTCCCTGAGCATACTCATGTGGCTGCTTCACAGGACGTAGACTAGGCATCGGTCAGAAAGGAGAAAAACATGCTGTGAGGCTGTGGCTTTAAGCCAAGAAAGGTTGTGATGTTGGTTTTAGGGTGCTTTCAGTGAACTGCTATTCTGCTGCTCTTTTATTCTCATAGTCACCTTCTCCAAAACTATGCCAGTGTCACTGGTTTGGGGATTTTCCCAGAAATAGGATGAGAGAGCTAATCGGACTTTTAAAAAAAACTGTTCTGTTGTAGAGTCTGAATCTGGTTCTGAGCAAGTCTTTGCCTGGTGTGGTGGCAGGGCTTGGCCCAGCCCAGCCTCTGAGCAGGTTGTGAGGCGAAAGCACGGAGCAGATGCTGATGAGGACTGTGCCAGTGTCCTTGGAAGAAGTTTGGACCTGATTTGCAGAAAGGGTGGGTGGTCTGTAATGTGAATTCACTGAAATGTTAATGGGATTGCCCTTTTCAGAGGTGCTTTATAAAATAGAGTAGGAGTTGTGGTGCCAGTTTTACAGATGGACAAACTAAAACACAAAGGAGTGGAGTGAAGGGTTGGCTCCTTATTTCATGACAGTGTGGTTTGAGCTGGTTTAAGCAGACTCTGTTTGACCCTCTGCCATCACGGCTGATCACTTCTGCCCTCGTGCCCATTCCCTGTGTTGTGTTGGCACAGCTGTTTATGAGACAAATGCTAGAGGAAATGAGCTCCTCGTCCAGCTAGCCATGCAGCTGCACAAATGCAGGCTTGGAAGTGAGCACCCAGGAGGGAGAATTGTGAGGCAGAGCTGAAGCTGCCAAGTAAATGCTGCAGCCCAGTGTCTGAGTCCTGTCCTGTAGCACCAGCCAGGGATGGAATCTGGCTGCTGGGATAGGCAGAACGGAAGTTTATCCTTTGAAGAAAGCAAACTTAAAAGTTAGATTAAATAATTAATTTTGACTTAATTAAGAACTTAGTCTGTATTAGCAGAGAAAGTCATGTTAACACATACTAAACCTGAATCCTTTAGTGTGTTTCCCCCAGCTTGTGTAATCAGAACAAAAGCACTAGGGAAAATTCTGGATAAGAATAAATGTGTTTCAGGGGAAAACATTCACAGTTCAGTGAGGCCTTAAAAGCCAATCATTCACTCAGGGTGTCTGTCAATATGTAACTTCCCTAAAATTGCCGTTTGCTGTGGGACAAGAAGAACAGCAAAGTTCCCAGCTGAAGCAAATTGTCTCTTGGCAGCTCTGTATATACCAGGGATGGAATAGTTGTTTCAAGCATGTTATTCAGATGCTTTTATTCTTTGTATGATATCAGTGAGAAGAGTAAATAAGATTGTGTAACAAACACTAAATGCATGTAACAAGTTGCTTGAAAAACTTGAAGGTTTTCTACTTTTTTTGTGGGGCTCAAGTGTGGCTTTTGCATCACATCAGGTGCTAACAAGGTGGCTGCTTCCACAGCTGGTCATTTTGGGGTTCTAGACTGACCACAAGTTGTACATTATTTTCTTCCATCAGCCTTGCTTCTTCCTCTTGGATGAAATATTATTTTGCATAGAAGTTGCTTGGAATTTTGTCAAAAGAGAAGCAAAATGTTCTCTCATTCTGTTCCTTTCTTCAATATGTGCTGAGTTTTAGAGTCTTAGCAGCATACGCCTGGAAAGACACCTTGTCTGACTGCTGAAACAGCATGTAACAAAATACGCAGTGCCCGTAAACATTCTGCTGTCTTCCTTTACAGTATTTCTTTATAATTAAAAAGCATTTCCTAGAAGTCGTAGCGCTGTGCCAGTGTAATCCATAAACTCGCTTTGTTTTTCTACAGACAGGATGGTGTTTTTGTGGTATTTTGGCATATCCGCTTAAGCAGAGTTTGGGGGTGTTTATTTTTTTAAATGGCACTTAACTCATAGCAGACAGCGAGTTCCTGTATGAAGAGAATAAAGACGCTTCAGCATGATCTTTGGGTGAAAAAATGGCCATTTGGCGTGGTAGAATTTTACTACCTCTTCCTCCTCTCATTTTTACGGACCGTGAAGCCTGTAAGACTTGAAATGATGGAGTGAACTTGCAGAGTTTGGGGTAGCTGGAAATCTGGGCTGAGTCTCAGCTCTGGGGTTGTTACTGGGCCTCCCAAATGCTCTCCATTTGTCTGAGGTCTGCTCAGTGAGCTTTTTCACGTGTTACCATGTCACTCAGGAGAATGGAAGTATGATGTGTCTGTGCTTGTATTGCAGGAAAATGGATCTTGTTATGTGAGGGCACTGAGGAAACCGGCCCCAGATACCGAGAGGAAGAAAGGCCGGTGGGAAATATTCAGGTAGGAAGGCTTTATGGACCCGCAGAAGGTTGAAAGTTCTTGTGGGTCTTTGGCCATTTTCCGTATGATGCATCATTTCTTATGTCTTAATGGCTGATCTGGTTGCTATCAAAGTTTATTTGTTTTTTTAAGAATCAGTCCTGTTTGGTCAATTGATCGCAACAGTGAAACACTGCAAGCAAAGCCCTCAGCATAAACATTCCTTGGGCTATCCCTGGTACAGCTATTGATCGTGATACTGAATACAAACAAATTACTCTTTGCATGAGCCATTCGAGCTATAAAACACAGCAATAATACGTTCTACTTGCTGCCAATAAATGTGCATTTATAATAAAGAGGGAGAAGTCCCTGAGTAGAAATGAACAGTATTTTCAATAGTGTATTCAATATCTTATGTCCAGCTGTTGCACAGAGCAAAAAAGCAGGTAGTGGATGCTCCATAATTTTTTTTTATTATTTTTAAGATATTTTTAAGTATTTTGTGAGCCAGGAGTCTTGTCTTTGCTTTATTTCCAGTATGGATCAGGGTTTCTCAAGTACTTGGTCCATGTATTAATTGTTTTGGGGACCAGCTGCCTTTCCTTTCACTGTCATGTGGCTCATCTCCACGTTTACTCTTAATCATATCCCTGTGGCATTTCCTTGTGTTGGCAAATGCCATTAAAGTAACTTTCACATATTTATGGTTGTTTTGAAAGCAGCAGAAATGGGGGGGGAGGAGTCAGTACCCTTGTGACCACCACCACCACCAAGGGTGCCTGGATGATAACTGAATCCGTTTCCAAAAGGATAAAGCTAATGATCATCAGAGCATAGATATTTTTTTTAATCTGCTGTACCATGCTCTTATAATCCTCCTCCCCTTCATCCATATTTTCAGCACTGCGCTTTGATGAGCTACAGACAGTTGACCCGAAGGCATTTCTTGATGAACATTTCTATCTGCTCTCAGCCTTGAAAAACTCAACCTTTTCAAGAGCTGCATGGGAGAAAAATGTGTAAGACTAATATTTATAGGCTGAAAGAGAGGGGAGAGGAAGAATAAAGTGTAAAACTTGCTTCCAGCAGAAATGCCATCTCTCTTTTACCTCTGATAATTAGGAGTGTTTCTGACATGGCTACTAAAGCAAGTTAGTGGTGTGTGCTTGCCATTTGCTGTGCTTTTGTGCTGCAGAATTGTTTTCGTTTTTGTACAGCACTGCTTTGTTCTATTTTGTTTTAAGACAAAACACAAATTTCAGCTGATAGCCAACTATTACATTATGATTCATCCTTACTCCTACATCTTAAATGGGTACTTCCAAGTACTTGAATTATTGTAAAAATGGAAGGTTTTTATTCAGGCTCACATTTTAAGTATTTTTTGGTAACATTCAGTACAGCTCATATGCATAAATCCTTTCATCAATAGCTCTAGCTAAAATCGTAATGGAAGATTAGAAGGGGGAGAGTTTTTAACTGTGCTGTATTTTTCAATAGGCAAATATCTTGGCTGTATTGAGAAACACAGGAGCACTGATTGTAACACAAGATTTAGATGACATTGCAAATGTTTTTAATGGTTCCTTAAAGAGTGTAGTGTATTTTGTACCTGGTGAATATAAGTTTAAATCTTTGATCTTTTACTATAAAAATAACACACGCAGTCATAGAAATGCAGCAAATCATTAAAAGATTTTTTAAAAAAAAAAAAAGGAAAGAAAAAAAACCCCATACTTTTTGAACAGGGTGCTTGAAAATCTACTGAAGATTTCCCTGCACTTGAAGGTTTAAAAAGTAAAAATAAAACTCACTGTTTTATTCCATGAAGATACTTGGGATCGAAGTTCCTTGCTGTGCTGTGGGGTCACGTGGTGCACTGCTGTAGAGCTGGAATGTTTGCCATGGTATTTCCGGAGCCTTCATAAACACACAGAAAGAACAGAGTTTTTAGGAGGATTTTTTTCTTTCTAATTCTTTTTTTTCCTCTTTTTTATTTTTATTATCAGCTTAAATGCCTTGCAATTTAGATGTGGGATTTTTAGGATTTCAGAAATTTTTATGTGACCATTTTAATAATTCCCTTTATTAATTTTCTATTAAATAATAACTGATTTCTACAGGAATATGTTAAGATACCTGGTGCCTTTTTTTTTTTTTTTTAAACTAATTGCTGCATTTATTTCTTCCGTAGCATAATTCCTGGCAACTAAAATATTAAGCCTAACTCTGCTATTTAGATAGTCTTAATGGTTTACTTTTGGCATGTGTCACTGTGAGTGGCATTCTGTAATCTGACTTGATAGCTGTCAGCTTGCAAACTGGAGTAATGCAAACAAAAGATGATCACTCAAATGAGGTTACAGTGAAGAGCCATTTCTTAAGTCCTGCTGCTGCACTGTAGAATCCCCAAGACAAATTAGAAAAGCAGTGAATTAGTTGTGGTTCCTGGGATGTGAGGGTTAAGATTATGCAAACCTGTTCTTTCTAATTGTAGGAATAGCGCAGGCTCCTTTTGAGACTTTGCAAACACAGCTCAAGCTGGAATGGATTGTGAAAAGCTCTATAGTAGCCTGTAATATTATGGGTATGTCAAGTCTCAGAGACAAAGTGTGCTGAAGTAGACCCTGTGCTATCTCCTGCGCCCCTGAGCTGGAAGAGATGTACCTTCCTTCTCCTGCCTTCCTCCTTCCAGATGAGCTGAACTACTTCTGGAACAAAGGCAGTGAACAGATCTGTTTTAAATGCAGTCCTGCAAAAGTGGGGAGGAAGAGAGGCTGAATGGAGCGTTTTTAGCTTCACCAACTAAATTCCCTGCACAAAGCCATAATAAGGGAGGAGTAGGGGAGAGGGCAATGTGAGGGAGTCAATAAAAAGTGGCCAGAGGCAAGAGCTGCTTCTTGCAGCTGTGCCACTGAGAAAAATGGTCACAGCAGTGTGGCTGGGTGCTGTGTGTGCCACTTTGGTGTATGAGTAGTGGACGTTGTGTATCAGTGTGAGTTGGGTAATTGTATCAGATTGCACACAGGTTATCACAGAGTTTTTCCTTAAACTAGGTCTCAGTAAGATTTGGTTTTCCCCAGATTCCACCCCTGAACTTGTGTAGTAACAAGCAGCCTGCATAGGTCAGGAATGGAGGAAGAGCCTGGGTTCTGCATGGCACCAGGCCTTCCTTGCCCCTTCCTCCTGTCCTCTATCAAACATTTTGCAGCCGATCTTTAGTGTGACTGGTTATTTAATGATATTATCATGGTGTGGAACCGTAGCATCATTTTTCTTACTAGAATAAGATTTGTGTTCTGTTTGGGTAAAATGTGCCATGGCTGGCTGCCACCGGTGCCATACTGTCTGACTCCTGTTGCTATCTCTGCATATCTGTGGGGGCAGTAGGGAAGCAACACACAAATGTTGTCAACAGCAGTAAGAAAAAAAAAAAAAAGTGAATTGAATAGCTGGAAAGGGGTTTGGGTAGGAAGAAGAAACAATAAGGAAAGATGCACTAGGAAATAAGGCTGGTGGTGTGAGGATGAGAAATTCCTCCCCCTGCAACAGTTTTGTTGACTAATAAAAGAAAAGATGGATGTTTTCCCTTCTAAAAAGTAGGAGAACTGGTGATAACTTTGGAAGTGCTCTGTGCTGTAAAGGTTGGCATATTGTGTGCAACAGTCACCCTCTGGGCTGCTGATGTGGAATTGCCTCTGCACTTCTGTTGCTTCTAATCGTGAAGGCTGGGCTGAGGCCTTGGCATCTGAGGGCAGCAGCTGAGCCCTTCAAGTCACCTCTGCTTTCCCAGTGCTCCTGGGAAAGGCACCCATGCCTCCTGTCATGTCTGTAGTGGGGAGGGGAGTGCACTTTTTCCTTTAGCATATACTGCTAGAAAGAAACCATTTGAATGCTGTGACATAAGAACCATATCACGGTCATTGGCCAAGTCCTCTGCATTGATGCAGTCGTGGAGGCCTTACCAGTTATTCTAGTGAGTGAGAGGGAATGGTGTGGAGCTAAACACCCCGAAGGTATGGGATCCATCTTTGTGAGGTAAAAAGCACTGTTTCAACAGTTGACATCACTTATGAATTTTAGAGGACTTGTATATATCTTCTTTAAAAGAAAGCCATGATTCAAAGGCACACTGTGTTTAAGCACTTTCTGCCTGTTTATGGAAAAAAAGCATTTTTTTCCTTATGAACAAGCAGAAATGAGGAGAAATACCCCAAAAATCTCATTAATTGTAACAGAGCAAAATGCTGCTGCCTTTCTGCTTTCCCCCCTATATTGTCCCCAGTGCTGTGCTTGTCAGAGAAGCTCTACACTACCTTAGCAAACCTCAGGTAAAAAAGAGGCACAAGTACACCTCATGACACAACAGAAACAGCACACAACAGCTTCACTTTTTCGAAGATGTCCAATGTTTTATTTTGTTCCGTGGTGCATCTCACTGATTTGTAAGTTCAGTGCTTTTATCAGAAGCGTAAAATTTTTTTCCAGATAATTATGCAATGATGATATATGTATATCTTAATAATGTTTTTTTTCCTCACCGTTTGGCTTTCCCTCTTGCACTGAGGATTTCTCAAGTTTTTACAAGGAAACTTTGTTTAGGCAGGTCAAAGGGAATCAGGATTGAAACTTATGCTCAAAAAGCACTGCGTTCTTAATTGCCTTTGACAGTGGTTGGGAAAGATGTCACTTCAGTGTAGTGAAAAGCAACCAAAATAAATTATACTTTTAATGAAGAGTTCTCTATCTGGATGAATTTATACTGACAGAACAGTATTGGTTAAAAAAACCAGAACCTTCACAAGCACATTGCAATTTATCCTGCTTTTTCTCTATTCAAACAATAAGCAATGTACACAGACAGTGTAGATGAACCATTTTGTCTGAGGTACTTCTTTAAGCAGAGGGCTTCTGATTTCATTATTATTTTTAATGGATTACATTGCTTTGAAGGAAGACTAAATAAAATCAGTATTCATATATTCTGTTTATCATGTGACTGTACTGGCAATTGCTGT